CTCTCTCTCTCTCTCTCTCCCTCTCTCTCTCCCTCTCTCTCTCCCTCTGTCCCTCTGTCCCTCTGTCCCCCTGTCCCTCTTTCTCTCTGCCTTCTTCTCTCTCTCTTTCTCCCTCTCTCCCTCCCTCTCTCTCGCTCTCTCTCCCGCTCCCTCTCTTCCTCATGGGAAAGTTCGCCCTTATGTCATGTTTTAGGATGTCTTTCTGTCTCTCTCTCCCGCTCCCTGTAGGGTGGTGTTTGCAGGGTTTAACGTTTTTTTTTTTTCTTTCGATTTTTGGGTGTTTTTTTAATTTAAACCATCCCGGTCTGGTAGAGGGGGATAACCGTGTTGTAGTGCATGCCATTTTTTAAACAATTGAGTGCCCCTCTGTGTTAGTTTGTGTGTCTGTGCTTGTGTTTGAAGAAAGGAGTCAGTTTTTCCGTGGTTGTGATAGTCAGTGATGAGTCTCTGACGGAGGTTGTCATGCGGGTGAAGCCGTACTGGCCTGTCTTGTACACATTATGTCAAAACTGTTTCGTTTTAAAATGGATCCAACCAGAAGAATTACCAGTTGGGGTAACGGATGTATGATCTTGAAAATTATCAAGTAGACCTGAAATGGACGTTTCAGAAGCAGTGTCCACTCCAGATGAGGTTAGCAGTTCGTCCTAACCAGGCTTGATCGAACAGACAGAATCACCCACCGACAGTACTAGGAACACTTTCGAATTGAACATGAAGGATTGAACCAAAATCACAAGAATGCTGACAAGAAGCTCTGAGGCGAAAATGAGAACAAAACACGAATGATTTGATTGCTTGAAATGAGTTTCAGTTAACACCATGGTTTCGCCTCTGTGTTGATTTCCCCCCTGCTTTGAGAAAGCCCGAACCGACTCACTACAGTTTCACACAGCTACACCAGGAAAACACGAACCAAGAAAAACACTCGCTGACATGCCTAAACAGTTTTCAGAGAGGAAACCAGTTTGATCCAACCCTTGGAACTCCCTGATTTAGAAGGATTCACGTACATGACTGAGAGCATAATAAATAGAGCAGAACTACACCGAGCTAACCCCCAAAACGAACACCAGAAACAGTTTCTTGCCCAGTGCGACGCATTCATTTTAGGATTCGTCAAGATTGGGACCAAAGTTGCCATCCATTACGATTGTGTGACACAAGGTAAGTGTTATGATCCTGGCTATTCCGAAATGCAAATACACAAGGAAAGACAATGTCATTCAATTGCAAAAGAAATGAAAGAACTTGGAAAGAGAAAGACACAAAGGAAGAAGAAGAAATAAGGAAGAAAGAAGAAGATGTACACTAGCAAAAGACCAATGTGTTACAATCCTGGTCATTCCCAAAGTGCAAATTCACAATGAAAGACAATGCCACCCAATTGCGAAAGAAATGAAAGCACTTGCAAAGATATAGAGACCAAAGAAGAGAGAGGGAAGAAGAAGAAGAAGAAGAAGAAGAAGAAGAAGAAGAAGATGTACACCAGCAAGACCAATGACAAATCCCCTTTCTCTCTCCACCTTCCTCCTCCTCCTCCACTTTGCCAATCTTATTCTTCTACCGATAGTAATAATAACAATGAGTGGATGAACCAGAATCAATGTCCGAAGTTCCCTCTTACTGCTGACACAACAACAGGTCCACCATAGCTATGGCTCCCCCCCTCTTCTTCCACCTCTCACATGCCTAGGTTATGGCGGACTACTGAGGGCTCTGCCCTCTTGTGCAAAGGACAACGCAAAGCAGCTATGTCACTGCACTCCTGTCCAAAGGACAACCCAAAGCAGCTATGCCGCTGCTGACTAAGCCGCCATGCCTGACTCTGCCTCGAGCTTCCTTGGTGCGGCACTACCCCAACTGGGGCCTTCCAAATGCAGCGCCCAACAAGGTGATGAATATGGTGTTCACCATAGCCAGGTAGGTACCTCGCCACTCTCCTCCTTCGCCCCCTTCTTCCTCCTCCTCAGGCTGGGATGCTCGCCATAGCCAGACTGAGCGCCCAGCTGCTCGTCACCTCCAAGCAACTGTCCAAGTCCAGCGCTTGGCTCCAGCAGCATGTCGCCAATCCTTGCATACTGCAAATGAGGAGGAGCTGCTTGCTCCTCCGGAAGATGTAGCGGCCTACTGGCCTCTTGGGCGGTGACTTCCTAGGCTGAGCGGCCTTCCAGCAACCGTTACCTCCTCCCTTTCGGAGGGAAACATCATTGCAGGCTCTGCTATCGTCCGGACAGGCCATAGACTCGGGCTACTTGGACTGGTACCGGCCTACCTCTATCCTATGGCTACTGGGCCTTTAAAAATTCCAACTTTTGTCTTCTTCTGCCCGGTGTTTAGTACCCGACACTTCTACCACTACTTGAGTGGTACCGGCCTACCTGCTACTTGAGTGTTTTTCCCGCTGCTCTAAGTGTCGCGGGCCTACCCCCGCTACTTGAGTGTTTTCCCCGCTGCAACCCTCAAAGTCACGGCCACAGGTAAGCACCGGCCCTGCCGGGCCTTTCAACCAACAAGTACCCTTGCGGGTCACACACACACTCAGCCGACAAGCACTCAGACAGGCACGCAAACCAGCAGGCACGCACACACACACAGACTTGGAAACCACAGCAGAATGCAGGAATCTCAGCAAGGCATTCATTCCAGTGGCAAATCCCAGAAATCAGCAGTGTTCCCAGTCTGTGTTTCGGCGGGTCGTTACAAATGACAAATCCCCCTTCTCTTGCCACTCACTCCATCCTCCTTATCTCCCCCGATCTTTAACGAATAATAATAATAACAATGCATGGCTGAACAGGACCAGTATCCAAATCTCCCATGTACTGCCAGCAGTACATGAGGTTCACCGTAGCCACGACCTTCGTCCACAACCACCCCTGGTAGGTGATGGCTTTGGTGGACTATTGGGGCCTTGCCCTGATGTTCAAAAGACAATGCAATAGCAGATATGTCTCTACCACTCAGGCTGCTATGCCTGACTCTGCCCTGAAGCCTTCTTGATGCAGCACAAGCCCTACTGGGGCCTTCCACGTGCAGTGCCTACCAAGGAGATGAAAATGACGTCCACCATAGCCAGGTTATGTACCTCCTCCACTCTCCTGCTCAACCCCTTCATCCTCCTCCTACCTGGTCCTGTCCACCATTGCCGAGGTGAAGGCCAGGTGCTCTTCCTCCCAGTGCTGTACTTAGTGCTGCTCAACCAAACACTGCAGCAGCTGCATGCCCAAGCTTGCACACTGCAAATGAGGAAGAGCAAGTCGCTCTTCCTGGAGATATAGCGGGCAACTTCCCTCTTGGGCAGTGACTTCCAGGCCTCCCAAGCAACTGGTACCATCCTGCTTTTGGAGGGAAACAT